CCCCAGCGGGAGTCTACCGTGACGGTGCAGAATGTTAAGTGACACGTTAACTACTCAGCCACATTGCTATAAGAGCCCTTGGGTGACATGGCAGATGTGAATTTCAAGGAAAGCCAGGTCAATTGCCATATCATAACAAACGTCTATTTGCTACAAAAATCGACTAAGTTAGTTATTTTTGTTATTTAAATAGAGTTTCGAGACTACCAGTAAATCAGTCATATGAGATGTGTTAACTCTATTTCGTTTAAGGTGATAAATGATATCGGTAGAATTTTCTCAATGATATGAGTAGAGCTGACCCTTCCATTGAATTTCAACTAGCCTTGCTTTCCTAAAAGTTGTTCTCCTCACATCTTATCAGAATATTCCTCTTGCCCCGTCGGATCCGTCTGCTATCTCACTGCTTCAAGTATTTCACTCGACCCCTACTACCCCATCTATTCAACTCGAGGTGTAACTTCCCACTGCGCCTAAGAGATAAACATGAGGCTAAAGTCCCCTAGTAATTATCATGGTTAAGCCTTTGTTTAATTGATCACGTCTATGGTAAAACAGGCCTACCGTCAGCCAACCAGTTCTAGTCTCCGCCACGTCTACCCTGCTTCAATCATTAATACGAAGTCTATGGCGTCCTATGCCCTAGTCTCTTGTGCCTAAACCTACAAATGTTGGTGACTGCTTGCTTTCATTATATTTAAAGTTGAACCACCTGGCCTATGAAGCAAAGGCTCGACCATGAGAACTACTTGGGAGTATGATTGATGCTAACGGTTAAACAGAATCGTTGTTTAGGTAATTGCCTTCATTTTTCACCGGTACGTTGTTACTTTGATTCTCATGGAAGATGCCGACGAAATATTCGGAGATGGGCAGAATCAACGGTCCGAGGATGGAAATCACTCAATGGCAGAGGACGCGGAAGTCAGGGACGTTCTGCATAGCCTCCCTGTCGCTCTTACCTAGTCATTCTCCCCTAAAGATATCCTAACTCAACTTCGTTCTAATTTTGTCGTTACCCCGATTGTAAATTAAGCACGTATTGCTAAGTCTATTTAGACCGCGTTACCACTATGCCACAGGGCCACGAGTTACAGCGCTGAACCAAAACTCACGGCGAATGAATGTATGAAAAAATGGACGGGGAATAAGTTGAATTACTAGAATAACCGCCGAGTAATAGCAGGATCAGTTAGCATCGAGTGTGTCTACAACGCGTCTCGCGCCTTGCATGTACAACTATTGAATTTGCCACAAACTACACTCGTCAATATTGCAGGATCAGAGACAAGTAGTTTAGTTTTTAATTGGACTTGATTACGATCAAGTCCACTTGCTGCATCAACTACAGCAACTTATATTATTTATAGCTTTCCCTAGAAGAAAAGAATTGCAAACCAAACCATTGGCTGTGCCGTAAAGAGGATAGAATTGGCCGGTAAGGAGGAGCCAGGATGACATTAGAGCGTAATGAAATATCGTAGCGCGCGATTTCAAGCTGACAAAACACATAACCTCTGCACGTATTCGCTCGAATTAAGGGTGTAGATGAGTTAGGTAGTAGAGTTCTAGCCCCCCTAGGTCGCATCTGATAAATGATTGATAGTTGGATTATCCACGTGAATAGACCCTGCAGCACCATTGAATTACACTTAGCCCTGCGAATAGGCCACAACTCCAATCTGCGTTTTATCGACACCCCAAATCGAAAAGAATTCGAGTAGTGCGGCGCATAATTTTGACGCCTTACTGAAATGGGCGCTATTGTAACAAGACAGGAGAATTTCAAAGCAAGCAACTTACCTAGTATGTACATCTCGACATTATCAACAGAAAAGTAAACAATTACAGCCCTAAAGCGTTTACTCAGCTTCCGTTGCCAATTTATAAATACCGTGCATTAGCTTTCTCAAAAAAATTAAGTGATTCTTGGAGGCACAGCTACTCTTCAACAGATTAGACGCCTGATAACTATTCAGTTCGAGCCCCCATGTATAATTTTGGTAGATATGACTGATGGCAAAGTTAAACGAGATTAATTACTACTATAATACGTATTCATAATGTAAAATTCAACTGTCGGTCCTGCGTTATGCGACTTAAGGAGGGTAATGCTCTTATTGAACATCCATTTTGATCAGCGCTGAGGTAAAATATCATCGTTGATGTAGTTAATTTACAACATTTGGCGTCTGTAGGCAAAGCAAATGTAATGCACATTAGAGTTTGCCTAATGAAACTGAATGAAACATTCGGACAACAAGATTAGAATCAAAAGACGTGCTTATTATTGATTAAGGTATGTCCAAAATAAGACCGATTTTTAAAGTTTTATTTTAGGGTTCTTCAAGATAACAATACCAACGATTAAACTGTAGG